TAGTAAAATCTGAGAACTATACAGTGAATACTTCATTTGCAAAATGTTAATCAATTGTCTCAAACTTCATTGTTCTTTCGTATCTACACCAATCATTCTCTATTCTCGTTCTCTCTCTTTAGATCTTCTTAACCTTCCGCTTCCAGATATTTCACTTTTGATTGATAATATATTCTACTTATATCTGTTGACATCAGTAGTACATATCATACCTTGACAAACTTTATTATGATATAAAAACTGGAAAAGTTTACTAAATATTGGCTACTAATACAATGGTTAAATAGATCTTGTGAATATATATTTGATTAATGATTGGTTTATAATCTTATTTCTTCAGTAGATGAGATTCGTGGAAGTAGTTGATCTAAGCTAGATGACTATTGAAATTCTGAAATAATTGGATGACTGTTTCATCTTGATACGAGACGCCTCAGTAGTACATATTATTTTTGTTCGTTTAAATGCATTGACAAGGTTTTTATATCTTAATTCTTCACAGAATTTTGATCCTCGACCCATTTATGAATGTATATATTTTGGAGGTTGTGTATCAGAATTACGCAATGAAGTAAGTGTTGTAAATGTTTTTCATTATTTATTTATTTATTTATTTATTTATTTATTTATTTTTAACACATAGATATTGGTACAAAGAGGCACCAAATACATATGCGCCACACAAATCTCACTTGATATGCGTGAGGGCTGTGATACTGCTCGGGTGCCCAAACCGAACCAGGTGGTTTTCTTAGGGACCACACCCAGAGCCTTCAACCTAAAGGTCTGATCCACAAGGCAATGGAGCATCGTGGGGAGATGCAATGCCATGGTAGCCGGTGACCAACGATTGATTCATATGCCATTTGTTCCTTGAGGATACTGGAGCTTATGTGCACTATTGGTTTGCAATCCGGTTAAAGTGCCGGACGTTCGCTTTTCGTCCTCTGAATTTGGTAAACAACACGCGTGGTGCGGTAAGGCAGTGAGTAGGACTTCCGTGGCAGAGTCTATATACGCGTGGCCATGTGAGAGCATTTGGAGAGGGCGAGAAAACTCTCCCCACTCTCAGCCGTATCAGGGCATTTGGGGGTAACTACAAACTAAGTTTATTTTAGCTAAGTAGTTTTCCATAAGCATTTTCTGATAATAATAATAATGAGTTATGGTTCATATGAGAGATAGAATGAATGCATAATGTGATATTATTCAAAGATTCCCACCTTTATTGATTGGATGAATACTAAGTAATCTGTGATAAACAAATCAAGAAAATGGCATAGTGACTAAACATCGTGTACCTTTTAAAATAGTAGATATATCTACTTTAATATCAGAAGAGATATTGAATGGTTTAACTACTAGCGTTCACCATAGTCTTTAACATTAATTTTGTATTCAATCAACTAATACTCTAATGTTTAATAATAAAATTCATTGAAGCTTATTCGTAATTCAAGTTATACATAAAGACGATATGATGCTCATATGGATAATCATCTTGAACATTTGAAACCTTCCTAATTATCCGATTTGAATAGAGGTAAACTTATCAATATATAATTACTTCGATAAAATATTGGAACAGATTGTTCAGAGTTCATGAGGAATCCTGTATTAGTGTTTGTAGCTTTTCATCAATCGTCCAACTAAAGCCAGTCAGTCATCTACAGCATAGGACTAGGCACATATACGCACCGTTCCAATTTGCCACACCTCATTAGCACAACATGATGAACACCGAATTCATAGAAGTTAATTCGGTGGTGGTTGTATATAAAAGAAAGAATGCATATAAGGACATAGTACAGGAAGAAAGAATTAGTTCGTAGGAAGAAAGATATAAAGTGATTTTATTCTCATGGTTTAAGGGAAGACAAGAAGTGCATACACCGATGCTATTGTGATCGATTCTGAGCCATGTCACCCAGTCTCCAAATCAGTCAGTAATGTAAGTGTCCTAGATATTTGCCCCCCAGATACTATGTTGAAATGACTGATTGAATATTTCTAATTATAGCATTTGGTTACTAATTTCCTTCAACTTAATAATTATATCTTGCATCTCTTCTGCATTATGGTGCTAAATATTTACTTCTATATGCATTTGAAATGGATATGTTGTTTGAATTTTAAGATATAAGTTGTAAGCAGCTAATGAAAACCTATTGAAATTGAATGAGTTACAATTAATCTCCTCAAATTTTCGTACTCATTCTCTTTAATATAATGATGAGAACTGTTGTAACGTGCGGTGTCCGAAATCTGATAATGATAGACAGTGTGCTACGTGCTAAACCTCCAAATGACCACTTGAGCAAGAACACAAAAGTGAGAGAGGAAGTTGATATGCTTGAATGCTATTACGAGTTCACTTACTCGGTAAACAGAACGAAGATCAACGATACAGTGACACAATAAGCTATTCTAATCCGTTGTCCCTGGCTCTGCTAACTAGATCAAGAAGTCTTGATGAGGCGTAGAGAATGTATTCTACAAGCACCCAGAAAATACAACGTCACTATGCACAGAAATCAGGCTTATTTATACAATGATAGAAACGCCCTTAGGAGAGCCACAAAATAGCGTACTAAAAAAAATTCATCAACGAATGACAGTCAAGTATTTCCGAGTGGGAAATGTAAGCTATAGGTCAACTAAACTTCTCTTGGCGCCAAAACATTAAATCTAAATTTTCAGAATAAAATTACAAAATTCGGACCTTTTCCAAGTGAGTTCTGAGGATCTAACGTCTTCAACAGAAGTGCATTGGACTATTGAATGAAATGCACAAATACATGTATATATACCACTCTATCCTTAGAAAATTAACTCCAATGAAGTGTATTTGACCTTTAAGTCACTTCCGAATGTCATCGACTGACTTTTTGCTACTTCTGATTGACTCTTTATATCATGTCATTATTTCTTTTGATACTGTGTAACTATATATTTTCATGGTTTTTTATAGTTGGTTACAGCCTCAAATCTACACCTATCAGTAAGCTAATACAATCTCTTTGAGAAAAACACTTTTTCTGTTAGATCTATTGAGTAACTAGAGCCAATTAGTTGCCTACATCTAAACTATTTTCTGTTTTATACTTCGTTATAGCAACAGACAAGCGTTTTCTTAAAAATACGTTTTCAATGCGAAGAATTATTAAGAGTAATAAACCTTTAAATAGATGATAGGTCATTCTATACATTCAACATCTGTATTGTATAGGCTTTACATGGATACCATGAAAGATACGGTACGAAAATCTTTTATTTTTCGGATTAGTAACAAATGGTAATATCTCATTGATTGAAATCATGAGTCAATTGAAGCTAGATCGCCATGGAAAACCTGGAAGCACTGGACGGCCAATTCGTCCTTGCATGAGAATCCTCAGCAGTGTGCATACACGATCACATGCCCCACGAGATTCAAGTGACTCATGATTTCAATCAGTAAAATTTCTAATATCTCCACAAAACCCCTTCTGATAATAATAATCATCTGCTCACTAGTGACTGACTTCAAGAGATACTCCTGAAGTTCTAGTGAGAAGCCGTTACCAGTGGAATTCAACCAGATCTGTTGTGAGATATCAATTCACTGAAGACAATGGTGTACGGTGACGCAACTTCGTGGATTGGTTGAAGTTAGACATTAACACCGTTGGATGCTGGTCGGCCGGCTCAGTAGTCTAGTTGGTTAAGCACCTGGCGTGAGACTGATAGGTCCTGTGTTTGAATCTCACGGTGTGGTGCGGGGTTGTGGATGCGCACTGCTGAGGAGTCTCATACTAGGACGAGACGGCTGTCCAGTGCTTCCAGGTTTTCCATTGGTGGTCTAGCTTCAATTGACTCATGATTTCAATCAGTGGAATTTCTAAAATCTCCACAAAACCCCTTCTGATAAAATGGTATTATTACTTAAACTTAAAAGTATGGTATTAGATTTTTTAGAATATTGATTCAAGTATCAACAATTCTGGGATAATCTGAATTGAAAAAAATCACCCAAATGTTTTAGTCGCCAAGTTTAATGGGTCTATATCTATGATTTAAAAATCCATTTGTCATTTTGTGTGTATAAATGACCTAAAGACTAGAATCATATAATTATATCTCAATGCTTACTGATTCAAATACTAAATGTTTTTAATTTCAATTGAGATAATGAACCAATCAACGTTAGACTACTATTGAAAATCTGAAAGCACTACATGACCGATTTATTCTAGTAAGGGATATCTCAGCAGTGCACACCCATTATCCTGAATGTGAGATTCAAACCTAGAACCTTTGGTCTCGCAATCAAACGCTTAAGTTTTAGCCGTCATCCAACGGTGTTATTGTGTAACTTTAATCAATCCATGGTATAGCACAACTATGTTCCATTGTCTTCTATGAGTTACTGCCTTATAACAGATACGGTTGAAATCCACTGATCACGGCTTCTCAATAGAACCGCGAGAATTACTTCTCAAAGCTAGTCTTTACTGAAAACATGATTTTTTATTTCACAAATGAATCTGTTATTATATATAAATATCTACACTATATGCTCTCACATGGCCACGCGTATACAACAAATGCCAGGGAGGTCCTACTCACTGCATTCTCGTGGCGGCGGTGTTGTTGTTTACGAAATTAAGAGGACAAAGAGCGAATGTCTGACTCTTTAAACGAGTTGATGTTTATAGAAGATCCACCTAGGGAAGTTGGAAAACCTCCATTTCAAAGCAATGGTGCACATGAGCTTCAGGATCCTGATAGAACAAATGGCGTATGAACCTATTGCTGGTCACCAGCTACCGTGGGACTACATCTCGTGACCTTATGGATTAGACCTTTAGGTCGAAGGCTCTAAGTGTGGTCCCCCAAAATAAAACTACCTGCTTCGGTTTGGGCACCCATACAATATCCCGACCTTCACACAAATCGAATGATTAATGTGGCGCATATCTATTCGATGCCTCCTTGTACCATTATTTATATATTGAAATAAATAAATAATAATACTATATTGATTTATGTATTTAGGTTTGGCCTTATCTACTCGGTGTATATAATTGGACAATGAGTGAAGAAGAAAAACAAACTATCAATGAACAATTAAAAGTACATTATAATGAAAAAATAAAAGAATGGACTAAAATAGAGAAGATTATTCGTGATATGGAACAAAATCAAACCATAAATACAACATTATTATCACAAATGAACAATGGTCAAACTACTGATAATCTGACACACAATTCATCTCCTTTAATTGAATGTAAAGTAAGAATTAGTAAATTTGTCTTTAATTATATCAATTGTTTTGTATTAGTAGTTTGAATTTTCTCATTAATCACAATTGATTGATCACTGGGTGGTCTATATCAGTCGAAACTGTGTGCACTATGTGTTGAGATTAGATGGTGGTTGAAGGTAGTCAACAGGAAACCCTGGAACTGGGTTTCTTACTAATTGGCACTTATCAGAACAGTGTACCTGTAATCTTGAGGGTACCGGTGCTCCCTGATGAATTCGATCCCATGTCACCCAGATTCACAGTCAGAGATGTTACAACTGAGCTATCCGAGCCGTGACCGAATTGAATCCGTCAGGGAGCACCAGTTACCTCAAAATTAAAGGTACACTTTGCTGAGGAGTGCCAAGTAGCACGAAACCCGGGACCATGGTTTCCTGTCGACTACCTCCAACAACCATCGAATCTTTTCATTAAAGTTTACAACTGCGATCGATTAGTCACTTATTGACAATATATGGATCCTGTGCGAATGACCTCGATATCGACTTAAGTCACAAGCATCAAAAACAATGATGGTTGATGGCTAACTATAGAATTCAGGACTCATGTGTTTTGTTCTATTTGATACTCGTCAGTTGAATGTACATATATCCCAGACATGATGTTCACTCTAAGACTCGAATCCAGTACCGTTCACTGTAAACGATGTCGCACTTTTCAGAGAGCAGTGTTTGAAACAGAATTAGTTGAATAAATCAAGCATAAATGCCTTAATCTATAAATAGAAAGGGATTAAAATAGACAGCTGAAACAAAAATAAAATGCAATAACCTAAACAATTTTCTTATTAGAGTTAGTATCTTCAATAGATTAAGTAGAATCAAAGTTCCGTTACTAAGACAAAATATTTTGATGCACTATATATTTAACAAATAAATAAAATGGTTAAGAACATGAACCGACTGATGTTAGACCACCGTTGGAAACCTGGAAGCACTGTACGGCCGTTTCGTTCTATCGTGGGACTCCTCAGCAGTGCGCATCCATGACCTCACCCCTGCGAGATTCGAACACAGGACTTACTGGTTTCACGCGCGAGCACTTAACCACTAGACCATTGAGCCGGCCGGCATCTAACGGTGTTAATGTCTAACTTCAACTAATCCACGAAATTGAGCGACACATCCACCATGATCTTAATCGTTGAAATTACTATAATATCCACAAAACCCATATTAAATAAATTAAATACAAAGTTGAAGCTAGACATTAACATCATTGAATGTCGTCCAGTTTAATGGTTTAGACGTTAGGTCTTGTGTTCAAATCTCATGAGGTGAAATCATAGATGCGCATTACTGAGGAGTCCTATACTAGGACGAAACAACCATCTAGTTTATCCAGACTTTTTCATGGTAGTCTAGATTCCATTGACTTATAATCTCAACTATTAAAATTACAAATGACATTCACTTAGTTTGTGTAAATGAATCGAAATTTCCTTCTTTGATTTAGGTGAATAAAAGAAAAAAAGTACGATAAATGAAAGAAAGTAGAAAAGAAAGAAAAGCAGATTTTAACATAAATTTGAATCATTTTATGTTTCTCATTAAAATTTACTCAAACGGTTAACATTGATGAATGAGAAGTTGTAGAGATCTATCTATCTGTCCATCCATTCACCCATCCACATGTCTGTCTATCTATCAATCTATCTATATGATGAAAGAGAAGTTGTAGGGATTTACTTCAAATGAAAAAAAAGCATTGATCCAAAAACTCTGGTTAATAACTGACTCCTGGGATCTATCTCTCTGTTTCTCTCTATCAATCTGTATGCTTGTCCGTCTATCCATTTATCTGTCTATTTATCTATCTATCTGTTTGCCCATCCATCTATTTTTCCACATGTCTATATATCTATCTATCAGTCAGTCTGTCTGTCTGTCTGTCTATCTATCTATGTATGTATCTATGGGATAAATACATATAATGGACGATGAAATCAGAGATTAGAAAAACAATTTGTCTTTTTACTTCAGTTGTTACATAAATTGACAATTTAGTTTTCAAGTAAAATAATGTTGAATAACATTCTCATGTTAAACATTCATAATATAAACTATTTTAAGTACACAATGCTATTGACATGTGAATATTTGAATATCAGAAGGGGTTTTGTGAAGATTGTAGTGATTTCAGTGGTTGTGATCATGAATCAATTGAAACTAGACCATCAATGGAGAATTTGAAAGAATTAGATGGCCGTTTCGTCCCATTGTGGGACTCCTCTGCAGTGCGTATCCACGATCCCACCTCGCGAGATTCGAACATAGGACCTATCAGTTTCACACACGAGCGCTTAACCACTAGATCACTGATCTGGTCAACATCCAACGGTGTTAATATCTAACTTCAACCAATCCACGAAAATCTTATACTAAGACGAATTATCTGTTCAGTACTTCTAGGTTTTTCATAATTTATTTGTTATTCATTTTGTTTTAACACATAGATATTGGTACAAGGAGGCACCAAATACATATGCGCCACACAAATCTCATTCGATATGTGTGAGGGGCTGTGATAGTGCTCGGGTGCCCAAACCGAAGCGGGTGGTTTTCTTAGGGGCCACACCCCAAGCCTTCGACCTAAAGGTCTGATCCACAAGGCAGTGGAGCATCATGAGGACATGCAGTCCCATGGTAGCCCGTGACCAACGATTGGTTCATATGCTATTTGTTCCTTCAGGGTACTGGAGCCCATGTGCACCGTTGCGTTGGAACTAGGGTTTTCCAACTCCTCTGAGTGGACTCTCTGTATCCACCAACCCTGTTAAAGCGCCGGAAATTCGCTTTTTGTCCTTTGAATTTCGTGAACAATACCACGCCACAAGAATGCAGTGAGTGGGACTTTCCTTGCAGAGTCTATATACGCGTAGCCATATGAGAGCATTTGGAGAGGGAGAGCTGACTCTCCCCACTCTCGATCGTACCATCATAAAAGATACAATGATTTAATTAATTCATTGAATATACTTAATCAGATACAATCATTTTTGTTTTCATCCTATAGGAAAATATTTTAAAGCAGTTTTCCCATGCATTAGATTCTGTAAAGAAAGATGTTGTAAGATGTGATAGAAATAATTGTGTCTATTCTAAATTTGGTAAGTTTACTAAGACAGAATCGATTGTTTATTTATAAACTGTCTGTTGATTTTCTTTATTTTTTTTTGGTATTTGGGCTTACAATAAACAATTACGTTTATATTATAGAAATAAGTAGCTTTATGACTGAATAGATCTGTTATAGTACTTATTATTATTATGAGAGGGGAAATGATGGATACATTTAAGTGTCTCTGTCAACTAGGGAGGGGGGAGGATGCTGTTACTGAGGTGCTAGTTAGGGTGGTCTGCTCAGGGGAGTTGCCGTCGAGTAGACTATTCTGGCGAGGTGGTGTTGGCTGTAGCAGGTTCTGATGATGGAGAATTGCAGTAGGACGTGCAGCTGCTGGGCGGACATTGGATGTAGATAACTCAGTAGGTCACTGGAGCGCAGGCGTTGAACGTCCCGGATGTGATGAGTGGAGATCGGATTACCTGAAGACATAAAAGATTAATTGATTATTTATGTCAACATTATAAAGAATGGAAGTAAAAGAATAGACATTCATATCTATTGGTTTTTCAACCTTCTTATTATTACCATGGATTATTAAAGTTTTACTTTGTTATTACTGATTGAAATAAGTCAATATCATAGAGTATTCGATTGTGAATGTTTGGTTAGTAGGTTGACCAGGTTAAAATTCTGTATGAAGCATGGATTTCATGAGTCAATTGAAGCTAGATTACCATGGAAAACCTGGAAGCACTGGACTGCCGTTTCGTCCTATTGTGGGGTTCCTCGGTAGTGCTCATCCACGACCATGTCTCACGAAATTCGAACCCAGGATATATCAATCTCGCGAGCGAGCGTTTAACCACTAGACCACAGAGTCAAGCATGCATTTACTTAGAGTTAAATATATGGTAACCTTTTCATCGGTTATTGTTAGCTAAATTAAATGATTGCAATACATTATATCTTATCAGTAAAAATAACACACGCAACTGGTTAGTCTTTTGAGATACTTGAAGCATTATTCTTTCTGTTTATTTGAACACATAAAAATTGGTACAAGGGATCACCAAGGTCATATGCGCCACACAACAACAATGAGGTCAGTAGCAGTTATCATCGATTTGTGTGAGGTCTGTGATACTGCCGGTGTGCCCAAACTGAAGTAGGTGGTTTGCTTAGGAAGGACACACTCGGAACCTTTGACTTAAAGGCCTGATCCACAAGGCAGTGGAGCAACGTCTGGTAGTCGGTGACCAACAAGTAGGTTCATACTTCATTTGTTCCCTCAGTATCCTGGAGCCCATATACACCATTCGTTTGGAATCAGGGATTCCCAACTTCCCTGGGTGAATCCTCCATATCCACCAACCCAGTTAAAGCACCGGACATTCGCTTTTTGCCCTCTCAATTTCGTAAACAACACCCCCAAGAGAAGGTAGTGAATAGAACTTCTCTGATGGAGGTTGTGTACGCATGGTCATGTGAGAGCATTTCGAGAGGGAATTCGGATTCTTCCCACCCTCGGCTATACCAGGGCATTTAGGGGCACAGGAAGCATTGTTTCATGATTAGTATGAAATATTGATCCAATCTTACATTTTACATGTCCTGTTAAAATAATAATAATAATAATAATAATAATAATAATAAGCGCTTTGTTCGTCACCTCGTGTTACTCCACAATAAATAATCTCAGCTCGAAAATTTCTATATTAGAACGAAATTCCAGTTTTATAGTCATTTAACTTGTAAAGATTGTCAACATTATCTGGAACTCATACGACGGACTACACTGCAAAGTCGTCCATGGAAGACAGTCGACAGATGCATTTCAAGTTTGGACAGCAGTCAAACAAAAGTGCTTAATCTCCCCTTTTCTTTTTGTTCTGGTGGTTGAATGGACTGTGGAGACCTCTTCTTCTCACGGGAAGCACGGATTATAATCAATAGGTTGAATGCAACTAGAAGATTTTGACTTCGTAGATGACCTGGCTCTTCCATCCCATACACATCAACAAATGTAGGTCAAGACAAACACTGTAGCCTGCTGCCTCTGCTTCAGTAGACCTCAAAATACATAAAGGAAAAAGTAAGATTTTCAAACACAACACAGAGAACACTAACGCGATTGCACCTGGTGGAGAAACTCTGGACGAGGTGGAAGGTTTTATGTATCTGAGCAGAATCATCGATGAACAAGGAGGATCCGAAGCAGATGTAAATGTGAGGATTGGCAAAGCAAGAACCGTATTCCTACAGTTAATGAACACGTGGAACTCAAAACAACTGACTCTAAACCAATATCAAAGTGAGAATCTTCAATACGAATGTCAAAACAGTTAAACTGTATGGAGCTGAAACTTGGAGAACTAATGCAATCATCATCAAAAGAGTACAAGTATTTATAAATAGCTGTCTACACAAGATACTCAACAGCCATTGGCCGGATACCGTCAGTAACAGTCTACTGTGGGAGAGAACAAACCAGCTTCCAGCTGAAGAATAAATTAGGAAAAGACGATGGAAATGGATAGGCCATACATTACTCAAATCATCAAACTGCATCACGAGACAAGCCCTAACTTGTAATCCTGAAGAGGAGCTGAAAAGAGAAAAGTCAAAGATCACATCATGTCGAGAAATTGAATCAGATATGAAAAGGATGAATAACAACTGAAAAGAGCTGGAAAGGATTGTCCAAGATGGGGTTGGATGGAAGCGTAAGTAAGTTGTAAAGATTAGAAAACTATGCCTAAGAATAATAATATTCTCTCATTCATATTTACCCCTAAATATTTTCTACCAATCTTGTTACCATGATACCTCTTTCTCTCATCTAAAATAAGTTTGTATAAATTCTACAATAATCATCTGTGTTTATTCACCTTTTTTTCTTTTTTCAAAGATTCACATGGTGATCGTAATTTGGCTACAATTGAACGAATCTTATTAACTTATGTATGGGAATATCTTGATGATGAATATACTCAAGGAATGTGTGATATAGTTGCACCATTATTAGCATTAAAATTAGAACATTCCATACCATCATGCATAGATACCAATAATCAATCTTCATTGATAACAAATGAGAATTCAATAGAATTATTCAATGAAATTGAAATTAGTACTTATATCTTATTTAAGTATTTAATGGAAAATCATTTAAAAAAATTATTTGCAAAAGAAACTGCAACATATTATATGGATCAAAAATTTGATCATATCAAATCATTAATACAGGTAGAGATCTTATATATATACATACACATATGTATTATAACTTATGCTCTGTATCCTATTAATGTATAATGTAATGATACCGCCAATTAGAGCACAGTGAATTATCGACCGGATCAATGAAGCATGAAATGAGTACGAGCAGTCTAGTGTCCTTTATCATGGCCGGAGTATAACAGAAGCTCCCTTGAAGCTAGTCGTTGTTGTTCAGCTTGCTTCCAATGTGTTTCACTGACCTCAAGCACCTCCAGGTTGTATCTCCTCATTTCTGCAGCAATTTAGAAGACTCTCCCGGTCTCCCACATTGTGCGAGTATTCCATGTACCTAAATAAATGGTTGCTCTGGTTGTCAGAAGGGGTATCGGCCTCGTAACTTCCGAAGGAACTCGGCTTTCATCATAAGGCATCATAACTTTTCTAAATGAAGACCTTCTGACTCTCAGGGCAGAGTTTAAAAAGTTTGAATAATTTTTTCTGGTTAGCGTTTTTTTAGCGAGTTAGTTTTCTAAGGGATGGGGTCGCTAACCCCATGCCCAACCCTCCCCTTTGTCCGGGCTTCGGACCGGCAGTAGCCCCCGAAGGGGCTCCAGGTGGGGAATGCTGATTGACGGCCTATGCTCCATTAGGAGTAACAGACGTAAGTATGTAAGCCTAGAGTCCTTATCGGTCCTGCTTTCCGCCTAGCCTAGCCAGTTAAGTCCAGGAAACTAATCTCAGACTTTCTGATATGAGTCATTTATTTCAAGTATATTGGGTTTATGTGCCAATCAAACAGACCACATTGCACCACAAAATAGAAAACACACATTTGTACAAGATTTAGCTAAAAGTGGTTGTGAATGTGGGAGATAGTGATTGATAGACTGCGTATAACTCGAGAATGGTAAATCGTGTAATAATAGTCTATAGCTCAAAATAAAGCTCATGATAAGAGGGACACGAATATGAATAGTTTAATTATTTAACAATTATACGATAAAAAATATACGTATAGGTACTTACTTACTTTTTTACTTACGCCTGTTACTCCTCATGGATCAGTATAAGCCTCCCACCAGCATTTTCTGTCCAACCCTGTCTTGGGCAATCCTTCCCAGCTCTTTTCAGTCCTTATCCATCATTTTCTTATCTGCTTCTATTTCCCGACGTAATTTATTCCTTGGCCTTCCTCTTTTTAGCTTCCCATCAGGATTCCAAGTTAGGGCTTGTCTCGTGATACAGTTGGATGATTTACGCAGTGTATGTCGTATCCGTTTCCATCATCTTTTCCTAAATCCCCTCTCAGCTGGAAGTTCGTTTGTTATCTCCCACAGAAGGCTGTTGCTGATGGTATCCGGTCAATAGATGTTGAATATCTTGCGTAGACAATTATTTATAAATACATTTACCTTCTTGATGATGATTGTGGTAGTTTTCCAAGTTTCAGTTCTGTCTAGTAGAAGTGTCTTGTCGTTCGTATTGAAGATTGTGACTTTGATATTGATTGAGAGACAGTTGTTATGAGTTCTATATATTCTTCAATTGTTGGTATGAAGCCCTTTCTGTTTTGCAGTAGAATGTTAAGATCAAAACTAAATGATTATGTAATCATTCATATAACTCATGTAAGTCATGAAACGTAATATTTACCTAAAGTACTGAAAGCATTCCATCTCATTTTTAAGAAAAGCCTGGATAACACTTCATCAATCCTTCCCACCTCACGAAAAAATTGAGATGAGTAAAATCTTACAATGGACTAATCATGAATAATGTCAAAATATACGTTATGTTAAATGTAAAAGTCATTTACTTGCTTTATCAATCAAATTGAAAGCATCTGAGCTGAGATTAAAATTTATGGACAATCTATGAGCAACACTAAATTGATCTTTTAATTATCCACTTACTTACAAGAGCTAAATGAGGGTTATAAACTAGTTTGAACAATAAGGATTATGATTTATAATTAATAGTTAGATTTGGGGAGGGTGTTCATCACAAACTGACATCAGTTAAAATACCTAAAATGTTATTTAACCAAAGGAATGAATGAATATCGCGACAAAACTCTAAGATCTGTTAACATAATTGATTGATCACTGGGTGGTGATCAGTGTCATATGTGTCAAATCCTTCTTAGTGCAGATGGACTGCTATCGATCATGTTTCACTGTGTTCACTGGTCTAGGTGACTCAACATTACATGCACCATATTGAGATAAGATGGTGATGATCACCACTTAGTGGTTAATTGATTTTAAATAAATCTCAGTCCTACAGGAAGTCAGATATCCCAATGATACCTTTTCTGACTGTGAAGCTGGGTGATATGAGATCGAATCCATCAGGGTGTATTAGTAATTTCAAAATTACAGGTACGCCTTGTTGACGAGACCCAAACAGCACGACAACTAAGTTCAGGGTTTTCTGTTGACTACCTCCAACCACCAAGATTTGTTATCCTAAATCTGATTAGTTCATTCATAAATGCTAGTCTCACCGCATCTGAAGAATGGTATGATATTTTTTACCTAGTTATACTTTTAAATTAAACATATTGTAATTAATGATGAGCCTGATTTGATCTTCCGGGTTCGAACTAACAACTTCAAATGTCACTATAATAAATCACATCATATGACTATAAATTAAACTATCCTTATATATATATCAGTCAGTAACAACGTAGAAATTCGTACGTACGTACATTAGTTCGAGTCGCCACACTACATTAGCACAGAAATGCAGTTGCTGATTCAAATTCCGCTGTGGTAGAGGTAGTGAAAGTATAATCAGTAATCGGAAAGATTAGGGTATAAAGATTCGAGGAGTATAGTCCAGTGAAATAAATTTGGAAAAAGGAAAAGAGGGACATGAAGAATTCAGAAGATTAGAATTCGGAAGAACATAAAGAGTGGATGCATCTGAGCCATTGCAAACAATTTTGAGCCATGTCATTCAGGGTCTCTAACCATCGGTTGCTATCATCTCTCGGTCCCCAACCAGATAGTCTACACCTACCAACATGACTCAGTTCACTTGTCAGTGACTTCATGGATTTGTGCCATGTTTTGTTCTGGCCGCCCCAACCTTTCTTTCAACCTACTTCTGTACCACTGAACATAGCACGTCGAGGTAGTCGGTCGTTGGGCATACGTATATATATATATATATATAATAGGTCTCCGGTTCGAATCGCGAGAGGCGCGGTCGTGGATGCGCACTGCTCTGGAGTCCCACAATAGGACGAAACAGCCATCTAGTACTTCCATGTTTTCCATGATGGTCTAGCTTCAATTGACTCATGATCTTAACTCTTTAATATATATATATATATATGAATAAGTATATTATCACATATACTTTATATTTTGTATTTCATAGATATTAGACCCTGAATTAATTGGTCATTTACAGAAATTCAGTGATTTTACACATTTCTACTTTTGTTATCGATGGTTTTTATTATATTTTAAAAGAGGTCAGTTAGTTACTATGTAAAATTATATAATATTTTAATTAATTATTAATTTATAAATAAAAAAATCATTATTTAATTTTATGAGGACAATTCATAGATGAACTTAAGGAAGATCTAAGAAGTTCAGAAAAAGACGAAGATATTCCATCCAATGATCTTTTGGAATAATTATACTCCAGAATTTCAATGTGTAGCTTAAAAATTACTGTATGCGAATTAAATGACTATAATAATGATTTTGTCTTTATTAAAATCTACTAAAACTACCTGAGAGTTTTGTAACATATTTGACACTGTTTTGAAATAGTATTCTTTTCTGGTCATCTTTTATTTCCTCATTTATAATTTGGAAGGTTCCATCATTCAATTATTCAAGTAGTACATGGTATATGAAGAATCCAAACTTTAGATATACCAAATTTATATGCGGAATTTCAGAAGTTTCATTATAATCGATAAATGATATTCTATAAATCAATGAAGACATATTAAGCTTTTGAAATTCGAATCGTTTTTGAAGATACATAATCTACTGTACTAATATTTATCTTGAATATTGATAAGTCGTGTAGGTTGAACGCTATATACGATTCTTAAGCTATTCCGATAACCCGTAGTCTAGAACTACACAGCGACTTGAACTCCAGAGAGAAGACAAAAGAATGAGAGAAAGCATTTTATTCCAAGGTTCATTCTTGTACAGAAAATCATGGGTATTTATAGATTTTGGCGTCTGTTAAATCAACATCATTTTACAGCCAATCTGATAACAACACATTATACTACCGACCAATAGTAGCACGCCATGTTGGAATTCTAGAACGTTCCATCACACTCTGATTGGTCAGGACTCTTCGGCTCCATGTGGGCCTCTGGAGGCTCCGTTGAAGTTCTCCGGAGGCCGACCCAACAAATATTCGATTAAGTGTAAAGATACAAGCATCTTCATGATATTAGCATTGAGTCTTTCATTACATATGAAATATATGCAGATTCTTCAATGTAGACGAATTTTTCAACATCTATCTATCATACAATATCAGAATCTTGATTTAGTTATGATTGTTCTTGAGAAAACCTTGATTAAAATAATTTAAAATATGAATCGATAATGAAATACTATCGATCAAGTTATTATATAGTCACTAACTAATGAATTGAAGTTAGATATTAACACTGTTGAATGCCGAACGGCTCAGTGATCTAATGGTTAAGCGTTCGACAGCACAAGACTGATAGATCCTCGGTTCGAATCTCGCAGTAGGCGAGATCGTAGACGCGTACTGCTGAGGAGTCCCATACTAAGACAAAACGACCGTCCAGTGCTTTGAGGTTTTTTCAACGGTGGTCCAGTTTCAATGGACTCATGATTTCAACCATTGAAATTTCTAAAAAACAATCTCCACAAAACCCTTTCTGATAATGGATTTCTCTTTTTTTCCCTTTTTCTTTTTCTTTTAAGAATTTAATTATCAAGATATTTTTCAAATATGGGAAGTTATTTTATGCGCTGAACATATAATCTCTAATGATTTTAGTTTATTTATTGCTTTAGCATTAATTCAATATTATAGAGATGTGATCTGTTCAAATCATATGGAATTAACGGATATTCTAAAATTTTTTAATGGTAAGTAAAAAAAAGTTTCTTGTATAAATAAGATATCAGAATGAGTTGGAAGGGGAGATCATTTTCATGGTCTCTTGTCAACTAATGAATATATTTATTCAGAATGTTGTGGGGGGGTGGCGAAGGGATTGTGGAATCCATGAATCTGGTAACAATGGATGACCGGTGGAGTTCAACCGGGTCTGTTGTGAGATAGTAACTCACTCAAGACAATACTGGATGTAACTCTCAGTTTCACGGATTGGTTGGAGTTAGACATTATAACCAATAGATATCGGCCAGATCAGTGGTCTAGAGGTGAAGCGCTCACGTGAGAGACTGATAAGTTTTGGGTTCAAATCCCATAAGCGGGATCTTGAATATGTACTTCTGAGAAAGTCCACAGTAGGATGAAACGGCCATCCAGTGCTTTCAGGTTTTCCATGATTTTCTATCTTCAATTGACTCATGATCTCAACTATTTAAAAAGAAAACTGTTTATTACTTTAAAAATAATCAGTATAGTATTAAATATCAGTAACTGATTTCCAAAAACAATTCCACGATTTCTACAGTGAAATCTTGACCATTATAGTACAACCATATTGAATATCAGTATAGGACCTTCAGTCTTTTGCACAAACGCTCAACCTACTAGACCACTGAGTCGGCATCCAATGGTGTTAATGTCTAACCTTAACCAATCCACGAAATTGTGTGACCATCTTCCGTTGTACTGAGGTAGACGCCTGTTTCTACCCGACACGGATTATCTTCACTGGTCACGGCTTCTTACGAGAACTCCAAGAATTTTCTCACGAAGCTAGTCACTAGTGAGCACATGGGTTCAAATCCCGCGAGCAGGATCGTGAATGCGCACAACTGCCGAGGAGTCCCACAATAGGATGAAACGGCTGTCCAGTACTTCCAGGTTTTCAATAGTGGTCTAACATCAATCGGTTCATGATCTCAATCAAAACATATTGAATATGTTATCGATATCCAGAATTTGGCCAAATCTACGAACATTAATAAAGATTTATTTTATTATTTAAGATCATAGATCATTCATTACATCTCATTTATCAAATGTATATTTTCTTTGTCTATTTTAAACAGAACGCGCTGAACATCATAATGTTGATGATATTTTAAATCTTGCTCGACATTTTGCAAATACTGTTCAAAAGTTAACTAGTAAAACCAATGATAATTAATATATACTTGTTGTAATCCATATAACATTCAATGAATGAATGAATGAATAATAGTCATGGTAATAGTCTTGTACAAGGTACTTCATATATCTGTTCATAGATATATATATGTTGGTTGCTATGATGTAATAGTCTAATTCTATATTGATTTCAATCAATATATACTGTAATCATTATTGCGTAACCTTTTTTTTGTTTTTTTACTTTTGCTTAGTTGTGATTGTTTCAATGATGTTGTTGTTGTTGTTGTTTTTCTCTCGATTATTTTTCTTTTTGCCATTTCATAATCTATTCCATTGTTCATTTTTATATTAATGTATACAACAGAATAAGATTTTGTTATGTAGTTTTCTTTTCATAGAGAAAAATATTAATCAATTTGATAGATTGGTTGAAATTAAACATCAACATTGTTGGATATAGGCCAGATCAGTGGTTTGAAGATTAAGCGCTCGTATGGGAAACTGATAGGTCATGAGTTCGAATCTTGCAGGGCGGGATTGTGTATGATAAGTCTTGTTAATTGGATGCTAGATTCGATTTCTAAGCTATTCTAGTAACCTCAAAGCTAGAATTACACACTGACCTGAACATGAGAGAAAAGGTGCGAAATACGTAAGGAACACTTTACTCCAAAGGTTCCATTTAGTACAGAAAATCTAGAGTTTCGATAGTATTTTAGATGTCCTTGGGTTTCTTCTAAATTCTGGAATGCCACTAAAAATAACAGCAGTATAAGTAATCATCCAATCAGAAACTCGACATTTCACCTTTCACTTTCTTGATATTTCTGTCTAAACTTCAAGTGAACACTCATTGGACAAAATGCTTCATAGTTTTTCTTGAGCCTTTCTTGTCTTTTTGCGAGTAGTTTTCTGGATCACCCCAACAGTGTATGCGCACTGCTGAGGATTCCCATACTAGGACGAAATGGTCGTCAAGTAGTTCTACGTTTTCCATGGTGGTTTGGCTTAAATTGACTTATGAATTCAGCTGTACAGTTTGATAGATTCTGTATTTCAAAGCAAACCTAGATCGAAACCGATGGACAATCGATAGATGAAGGTGAGGTTGGCTAAAGTTCTGTATATACATACTTTAATATTTGAATTCAGAATTCAATATTCATGATACCGCCCATGGGATTCAAACCCAAAACTTATTGATTTCGCTGAGGAGTCTCATACTAAGAAGAAACGACTGTCCAATGCTTCTAGATTTTCCATGATGGTTTAGCTTTAATTGACTCGTGAATTCAACTACTAAAATTACTGTAATCTCCACAAAACCCTTCTCTGATTATAATCATCATATTCTCACTAGTAACTGGCTTCAATATGTATTTCCTGGAGTTCTAGTGAGAAGCCATGACCAATCGAGTTCAACCAGGCCTGTTATGAGATAGTAACTCACTGGAGACAATGGTGGTTCAAATCCCATAGGCGGGATCGTGGATGCTCAATGCTGAGGAATCCCACAATAGGAAGAAATGACCGTTCAGTACTTCCAAGTTTTCCATGATAGTCTAGCTTTAATCAACTCATAAATTCAACTATTAAAATTACTATAATATTCACAAAATCCCCTATCTGACAAAGTTTTCTTTACTTGATTAAAACCTCAACATTTTATACTTAAAATATTATCATTGACTAGTCTTTACCGGTTTAATGTTGAAATGAAATCCTGTTAGGTTCATGATTACGTTTATCAAGTAGAATGGATCAGTTCAAAATGAATAAAAGCAAACACAATTTTTCTTTCATTCAAAAAACTACTATATCCCTATACATTGACTAGCTGTTGATTGTTCAATATCAACATTCAGACGTTCTATTAAAGTCCCTTCATAATACATTTAATACTAGATGATGTATTATGATCAAGAACATTCTAAGGAATTAAGCCAAAAAATCAATAGTCTAATTGCTTTAGTGTCATATTATATTTACTTAATAATTATTTATTTCAACAGTTGATATCATGAGTCAATTGAAGCTAGACCACCATGGAAAACCTGGAAGCACTAGACGGCTGTTTCGTCCTAGTATGGAACTCCTCATCAGTGCGCATCCACGACGCCGCCTCGCAAGGTCCTATCAGTCCCGCTCCAGGCCCTTGACCATTAGACCACTGAGCCGACCGGCATCCAACGGTGTTAATTTCAGTCAACGTATGATAGTATAAGACCATGTTTCACTGTTTTCGGTTGTGTAAGTGCCTCACAATCAATATGGATTAGCTCTATTGGTCGTGGTTTCTCATTAGAACTCATAGAGATTCTCCTCAAAGCCAATTACTAGTGTCCACATAATAATAATCAGTAATGGGTTGTGGACATTTTTGAACTCCATTGATATCACTAACTGATCTAGAATAAATCACCATTGAATGATGATTCAATGGTTTAGGGGTCAAGCAATTGTGCGCGAAACCAAAGATTCTGGAGTTGGTTACTTCATGTGGAGTCATGGATGTGCACTTCTAAAGGAATTCAATACTAGAACGAAACGGTTGTCAAGTGCTTTCCGGTTTTTCATGGTGGTGTAATTTACATTGGTTCATGATTTCAATGAAATTTAAATCTTCACAGTGCTTTATAGTTAGCGATTACTCTGTGATGAAGTTTGATAATTTCTACAATATGTTTCTTAACCGATTCCAATATCTTTTTCTTTTCTTCAGTTGGAAACTGTTTTGTTCTCTTCCACAGTAGATTCGTACTGATGGTATTAAGTCAACGAATACTGAATATCTTAGATAAACAATTGTTTATCAATACTTGTACTTTTTTATGATGATTGTAGTATGAGAATTCCACAAACATATAATATTGAATAAAACTATTCATTATAAACACATCTCGCGGGGTGCGGGATCGTGGATGCGCACTGCTGAGGAGTCCCATATCAGGATGAAACGGCCGTCCAGTGCTTCCAGGTTTTCCATAGTGGTCTAGCTTCAATTGATTCATGATTTTAATCAGTGAAATAACATTAAGCGTCTAGAATAACATTAGATTAGTGAATTAAATTACAATAGTATACAATAACTCTCAATGTTATAACTTTGCAAATCAATAGTACCATTGATGTATATAAATGACGAATAACTAATGAAATTGCTTGTGAATAATCAGAAAGAAACCCATGGACTTATAAGAAGGATCCTTCATCAGTTACAAATAAACCAGAAGTTGAAGACAAGAAAAGACTATTCACATATGTGTTGAGAAGATCCAGAAAACTCCTCGAAAAAAAAGCCAACAAAGGCTCTAAACACACTGAAAAACATCTTATTCAATCAGCCTTCAATAGAAATTTTGCCAGAAACATCAAGACATTTGCAAAATGTTAATCAATCATCTCAGACTTTATTGTTCTTTTGTTCCTACACCAATCACACTCCGTTCTCGTTCTCATTTGTTTGATCATCTTAGTCTCCTGCCACCAGGTATTTCACTTTCGATTGATGATACTGTAAGGGGTGGTCCAGAAAACTACTCACAAAAAGACAAGAAAGGCTCAAGAAAAACTATGAAGCATTTTGTTCAATGAGTGTTCACTTGAAGTTTAGCCAGAAATATCAAGAAAGTGAAAGGTGAAATGTCGAGTTTCTGATTGAATGATTAATCATACAGCTACTCTGTTGAGTAGCATTCCAGAATTTTCGGGGAACCCAAGGTCATCTAAAATACTATGAAAACCCTAGATTTTCTGTACTAAATGTAACCTTTGGAGTAGTGTTCCTTACGTATTTCGCACCTTTTCTCCCATGTTGAGGTTGCTGTGTAGTTCTAGCTTTGGGATTACTAGAAGAGCTTAGGAACCGAATCTAGCGTTCAATTAGCAAGACATCAAAATGTGAATGAATGAACTTAGATACAGTTAAAGTGGGTTAAAACCAAGCTAACTAGTGATTATGTCATAACTTATGAATACTTCAGTCTTGATATTGTAATGTTTTAATATTCTCAAAGTACCTAATCTCTTGTATGTACTTGTTATTGTGAATGAGAATACTTGATCATTCTTCAATATTGACCACTTTAATATAGACTTTTTTTAAAAGAAAAAACTACTTTATCTAAACTGCTGCCAACATTTAATGAAATCGCTGTTCAATTTTTTCCTGTAAACAAGAATAACTTGATAAATACTGAGATTTTAAACAATCTTATTGTGAATGCGTATTGCTGAAGAGTCCCATACTGGGACGAAACAATCGTTCAATCCTTCCAGGTTTTCCATGATGATCTATCTATAATTGATTCATGATCTCAACTATTAAATCACTATAATCTCCCCAAATCCCCTTTCTTCTGATGATGATAATAATAATAATCTCATTATATCACATAAAATGAATTATATTATTATAGATAATCTGATGCATACATTAATATATTAGGTGGTATTTTACTCTCATTAGAACTGTATTACTCTATAAGGGAGATCTCACTATATAACAAACGAAATATTATGAAAGTATATGTAAACATTCCGTTTGTTTGTTTTTATTGTGTCGTATTAACTATAGTTTTCTCGGGGATGAGGTGGGGTGGAAGGGGAATTAAGGTTGCCAAGTGATAACAGATAGAGCTATTTTTGCATGTTTCGCTACAGCAGCATTCATATCAGTTACATGTGGTGATATCTAAAAACAAAACAAAACAAAAAAGAGAACTAGAATGAAATGATTATTTTAAAGAGTTTTGTGGAAATTAGTTTTTATTTGTTACAGATTCATTTCAATTGAGGATACTATTGAAAATTAGAGAGTTGTGAACATTTATTCTGTATTATAATGATCAAAAATGCCAATCAATGACTATAGGGTCTTGTAGTGAATGTTTAACTAATAGAACCACTAAATCAGCTTCTGACTGAATAATTTCAGCTTCATCCAGTTTATAAATAACATGCAGACCAGATTGAGATGAAACAGTTAGATGATCGTAATGGGGTGTATGCTGCTTATACTGACGGGAATAGGCTCCTCGCAACGGTGTCCTCAGGATTGCACTAAATGTAATGAACATAAAATTACTTACTTACATAATTACGCCGAGAGTGAGGAGAGTCCGCTCTCCCTCTCGAAATGCCCTCACATGGCCACGCGTATAAAGCCTCTGCCAGGAAAGTCCTACTTACTGCCTTCTCGTGGCGGGGGTGTTGTTTCCGAAAATGAGAGGACTAAAAGCGAATGTGCGGCGCTTTAACTGGATTCCAAATCAATGGTGCACATGGGCTCCAGTATCCTGCGGGAACAAATGGCATATGAACCAATTGTTGGTCACCGGCTTCCATGGGACTATATCTCCTTGCGATGCTCCACTGCCTTGTGGATCAGACTTTCAGGTCGAATGCTTGGGGAGTGGCCCCC